GGTCAGGCTGTACCCCTGGTGCACAGCACCGTGGGGCCAGAGTGGGGCTGGCCATAGCCCCCTTGTGCGGTGCCGATCAGGATGGGCTGAGCTGTACCCCTGCCTGGGTGCAGGGTCTGGCTGCACCCCACCATGTGGTACTGGCCAGACACCCCTGCACTAGCAGAACGGAGCCTGTACACCCCCAAAACGTGCCCTTGGTGGCATGACATGACCCACAGCCTGGCGTCAGGGGGTCTCTGTGCATGCAAGGGGGCCACAAGCATGCCGGAGGGGTGTTACTCCCTTTCAGGTGCTCTGAGGCCTGGAGACCCCCAGCAAGGTGGTCCACATCTCCAGAATGGCACCAGCCCCACAAAACTCGGTGCTCCTCCAGCCCCTGCAAGTAGCACAGGTCCCTGATGGTGCAGCGCTACCATTCTGGCCCCTCATGCCCCCAGAGTGCTCCTGAGGCTGCTTCCCAGGGGCTGAACAGTGGGGAGGGCAGGGAAAATGCAAAGTGAGACTTAGCCTGCTCCCATCTGGGAGAAAAAGCTCTCCACTCGTGGTCGATTTGAAAACAAGTGCGGAAAATGTGAGGAAAAGATCTTCATACCTTCTCCCCCAATTTTCAGGAATATTTGACAGGGAGAAAAAAAAAAAGATTTGAAAAAATGCACAGAAAAAACAGTTCACATCTTTTAACCACTTCTGTCCAGGATTCCCAAGAAAATCCCTCTCTCCTAGAAAGCTGTGGGACTTGCTGCAGGCAGCAGTGTCTTGGTTCCTCCTGCTGCTGCCTTTCTGCAGACCTGAGCCGTCTCCTTTTTCTGGGGACAGGTAGCATGGCAGTGCGAGGCAGCTGAGCCTGGCAGCACTGAGCGGCCTGTGTCCGCCTGGGCAGGGCCTGGATGTTGGCCCTGGTCATACACACCCTGCTCTGAAGAAGCTGAGTTTCCTTCACTCTCACCCTAGTGCTGGAGTTGTTAAGGAAACATTTATGAGCACAAGGAAGCAGTGAGATAAGATACGACTGGAACCACTGACAGGGTGCTATAGCTGGAGCAAAGAGCAGTGTGGGAAGGCTAAGCAGCTACTGGAGCTCAGCCCTGCGGCACAACCTCTTGCTCTTTTCCAGCTCTAGTCTGAAGAACAGGAGAAGAATTTCCTGCTTACGCTATTGTTGCACTCTGCAGCAGGCCAGGGCTCGTGCCCTTGAGCAAGCAGGACTGATTTACCTGCCCCCTCATTCTTAAACTGGAAGGAAATCCAGAGAGATGCCAACACCAGCTGCATATCTAGGTGCTGCCCCATCAGGCAGTAATTGTCCTGAGCATGCTGGAAAGCAGAACAAAATTAAGGATGCATCCTCACAGGAGCTCGCCGTGGAGCAAGGGAATAGCTTACAGTCCGTGTGGGCTGGTTGTGGTGAAGCTCCTGGCTCATCCCCTGATCTCACCACACAGTCCTGCTCTAAGCCCTTCGCTTCGTCCCTGCCCTCTTGTCACAGGCAAGGCTCTTGGTGGGGTGGCCTGGCAGGACCTGCTGTTACTGTGGCTGGATGATGAGGTGGGAAGATGGCAAAGGGCAGCAGGAAAGGACTAGTAAGCGTGTAAGAACTGGACACTGGTAGCTGGGCAAATCAGCTCAGGTAGGAGTGACACATTTACATCATGGTGATGCCTTTCTATCACAATATTTTAACTGTAAATAAACAGTAGGCAAACAGCAGCTTCTCCCTCTTTGCCAGACCTCTCTCTGGGCTGATGACCTTCTCAGCAAGAAAATGGTGCTGTTGGATGTGAAAAACTGGTTCTTTGACTTTGCTGTATTTGTCTAGCAACAGAAATGTGCATTATGTGAGGTGTGGAAAGTCAGCACTGGTGTCACTAGCTGTGACCTGCGTTTGTGTCACTGAGTAATGCTGAACGAGCTTATTGCCAGTGAGGAGGCTGCAGAGGGAGTTGTAATGCATTATCTTCATCTTGTTCTTGAATTGATCCTTTCAGTGCCAAAGACATGAAGCATCGTCTGGGCTTCTTGCTGCAGAAGTCAGACTCCTGTGACTACAGTTCTTCCCAAGGCAAGAAGGAGAAAATATCTTCAAGCCAGAGGTAAGAGCAGATGCTGCCACATAGTTGAGCCCAGACTGCCTGCAATATTTATCTTCACTGAGCTAAACTTCATTAGCATTTCTGCTGCTGCTCCCCAGTACCTCCTGAACACCTGTGTGTTTGAATCGAGTGTGGAATAGTCCTCAGGTCCTGATAGTACCTTTCCATGAAGAAGATTGAACTAGAATTCCCTTTCTGCCAACATTTCTGTGATTCAGTATGCATGTGCACATGGAAAGACTTGTGCAGTCTCCTGCACAGGGGAATAATGTCATCACAAGACTGCGACTTGACACATTGTAGTATCAGCAGCACTGGCTCTTTGAGTTGGATTTGTGCAATGGTCCGCACAGCTGCACAGAGGTACTGGCAAAGGAAACAGTGTGCAGCCTGTCAAGTGTATTGCTGCTCTCACTGAGGTGCAGGTAGCTTATATCCTCTTGAAGGAGGACCAAAGGTCAAGATATGCTCCTGGAACAAGTGAGCCCTAGATGTTCTGGTATGGTAGGGGAATGAATGCAGGATGTGCAAACATGCTTTTTAGTTCCCATGTTCCTCTCTCTTCCACATAGCTACTCTTCCCCTGAAAGGTTAAAGAAATCAGCCCTTTGGAGTTTACTGATATGAACTGTAAGAGTGATCCCAGGTCCATGCCCCTCTGAGAGATGCAGCTAGTCACAGAATAAACACAAAGTCCCCAACAATTTTTCCAGAAAAATTCCTTTCCAGTCCATGGCTGGTGACAGGGATTGCAAACTGGATTTCTGTAGGTTAGGTGTGGATCCCCAGGGGTCTTTGTAAAGCAGACATTTCCTGCTTGGTCTCTTGTGTATGCTCTTGAAACAATCAGGGAATGGTATTTTCTAATGGTGCTGAGCAAAATGCCAGATTTGTCCTTTCTGTACTCCCCTTAAATCTTCCCTATGTTTCTCCCTTTGTGTCCTTTTAGGATTAGCCAAGAGGAAGTCAGAAAGTGGGCAGACTCTTTGGAAAACTTGATCCAACATGACAGTAAGTAAAGAAGTCCCTTCTGTTGGAAATGTTGAGGGTGCTGCCTGCAGAGTGTGCGTGCTGAGCAGTCCCTGGCGGGGGCATGGGACGTTATCTTACATCTCTGCACTACACAGTAGCTTCTTTGGCCACACAGGCCTCTGGGAGGGGTGGTGAAGGGTCAGATACAAGGGGCAATCCCAAGGTATCAGGAATGGGGCTTTGGCCTACGTCTGAGCTGTCCCTTTTGTGAGAGCAACAGGTTTAGCCCCTGTGCAAGGTGGGAACACTACTGCAGCACACAATTAACAGTGGGTTAAAGAGCCAAAAAGTGAAGAAACTGTTTACAGCTGAGCCTGTGGGACACTTTGCCTTCTCATTGGTTCCAGGCTACACTGGTGTCCTTGAAGTTTCCCTTGTGCTGTTCCCATGGCCCGAGACTTGATGGTGTGTGTTGGCCGTCTCCTCCGGGCCTCCTGGGAACACGCAAGTTGCTTGTGTTCTCCTGCTGAAGGTCGCAGTGGGGGAGCAGGCAGCTGAGGATCCATGTGTGACATCCCAGGAGGCCTGTCTGAATTCCAGCCTCCCTCAACATGCATGAGCCACTGCCATGGAGGCAGGCAGCTTCCCCACTGTTAGCCCCAGGGGAGCTGCTCATTCATCTCTGGGAAGGAGAATGCACAATTGCTGAGGTTCATAGGTATGACTATCCAGGAACCAGCACTCTTTCCTGATTTGGTTTTCCTCTGAACAATCTGTAGGAGGACTGGCTGCTTTCCGTGCTTTTCTCAAATCTGAGTACAGTGAGGAGAACATCGAGTTCTGGGTCAGTTGTGAGGACTACAAGAAAACCAAGTCACCAGCCAAGCTCAGCCCCAAGGCCAGAAAGATCTACGATGAGTTCATCTCAGTGCAGGCAACAAAAGAGGTACATGCACAGAACATTCTTGGGCAAAAGTAAAATCCTGAACCAGTCTAGCAGCACAGGGATGTAGAGATCTGGTAGTTTCACAAGAGTTGAAGGATACCACTTCTCTGTTAGTTAGCAAGCACATGGTGTCATCTTTATTGCTTTCATATTAAACTTGGATAGAGAAAAAGTGGGTTTAGTTACAACCATGTGGCCATCCCATGTGCACAGTCAAATGGGAGAAGCCTGAGAGGACTATGATTCCCAGTGTTGCAGCTGCTCCCATGAAATTGCTTGAGTTTCCTGGCTGGCTGCATCCCAGAGGGATATTGTCAGCCTCCCCTGACAGTTCATCTGGCAGCAGAGATGTGTTGGTATCCAGCTGCACAGATTCTGCCAAGGCCACGGGGTGTCCAGCCACCATTTCAGACCACTGCCCATCAAGGACAGCTTGCGTATGCCTGGGGAAGAGACACTTGGATGTTCCTTTACCTATACTAACCACTTTTGAGACAAATTCTACTTACGCCATCCCTTTGGCCCACAGGTGAACCTGGATTCGTGCACACGGGAGAAGACAAGCCACAATATGCTGGAGCCTACGCTGTCCTGCTTTGATGAGGCTCAGAGAAAAATATTTACCCTCATGGAAAAGGATTCTTACCGCCGTTTCCTCAAGTCCCCCTACTACCTGGACTTGGTCAGCCCACCTGGTGCTAGCTGCGGGCCTGAAAACTGCAAAAGAAGCCACACTCACGCCTTAGACTGCAACTCTAACATCATCTCTCAGTGCGCCTGAACCTGCAGCAAGGCAGGAGTGGGCTGGGCTCTTGTAAGAATATATGGCAGCAAAGGCATTCATTGGCATGAAGCAACAGAGCTGTCTCCAATAGCTGTCTAATGTCCCAGTTGTACCCCATGTCATGCAACAGCCAGCATTTGTAACCCAAGCCAGGCTCAGTGTGTGTAGCAAACCCTCCTTTGACTCCATTGGTGTAGGAGCCCCGGAGTCTGTGTCTGACATGGAAGCTGGATGCAGTCACTGCATGTCCGCTGTGCTTCTGGCGAGCCCTGCCAGCCTGGTGTGCGGCGGGGGAGCACACGCTCCGCCCCGGCACGGCCCACCAAGGCACTGGGCTGCAGTGTGACACCGAGCAAGGAACAGGGGCAAGAGGAAGCCAAGGCAGGCATTGGGGACTGTCATCTCCCCTTTCTAATTGGCAAAAGCTTATATGGAAAGGACTTGCTCTGGTCCTTAGTTCATATACCTCCCAAATGTCTTGGCTTTCAGTGGTATTTGCTCAGAACTCAGGCTGTGCTACATTACAGTAGTTGGACATAGGAAGAGCTCCTACTCTTTCTTAAGGGAGACCAAAATTTTTCAGACAAACAGCCTCCCTCAATCACCGCAGCCACTATCACAGGGAAGCCCGCCCGTCTGGCTGCTTCTTCCCCTGTAGTATCTAGTTTATGCTGGCCATAGATATTTCCTAGGGCTGTACAAAGCTATTATTATGAGGGAGGTTCATATTTATATGTTATTAATTGTGTCCTTCATGCTCCCAGGTTAAATACTGTAGATGAGCAGAACAGAAACATGTTCCTTCTCTCCCAGACTGGCAGGTGTATATTGCTGACTCTGGAGAGCTATCTGCCTGCCCTGGCTTATATGGAATGGTTTGTGATAGAGTAGGGCCACAAGCACAACAGCTAGGGAAGAAAGGCCCTGCATGGGAGTACTTGAAAATGTCTTTTTTTTTTAAATTTTATGTGCGTTTGTATTTCAGTAGCAGCATGACTCACTTTTTTTTCCTGAAGATGGTAGGAAGAATGTGTCGGTCTCATTACTGCTCCTGGGCTTTGCCAGAAGGCAGCTTTTTAAGCACTGCAGTTAGACATGGCCTTCACTGGGGGCTTTGGGAATGATACTGACCTGCAGCTGGAAGCACAAGAAATAGGTGGAAATAGGTGCAGGGCTTGCTGTCTTGGGCTGCAGTACCAGGTGTCACAGTCTCCCCCAGCCCCTGGGCTCTCCTTAGTTGGATATTGCTGCTCTGACAACTGTGTATTCTTCACCCTGCATCCCAGTCCAGACAACAGTCCTCACACCGGGATTTTGACATGGCAGGAGGAGGCTGTGGATCTCCAGCAGGCAATCCCAGGCCCACAGAGAAACATTTCTTTTAACATTTGCTTTATTCTGTATTTATTGGATTGTACTGGCACATAACACCCTGCATGTTCAGCTGAGATGGAGAGGCTTGCTAAAGCTCTGAACATAGCCAAGCATGTGGCTACGTTTTATTTTCCCCTGGTACTGGGAACTCTTGATAACTATTGCAAAAACTGTATTGATATTTAAATAATGATGAATACATTCTAAATAAAAATGTTTGCATTAGTCCCTTCTAAAATGCCATTGTGTGAACCAAAGAAAATGCATGGAGATCTAATTCATTGGCCAAGGTTACTCTAAAAAGTCATTTTACAAACAGCTTCACTCAGAGGTTGTTTTAAATTACGGAAAGATGAAACAGCCATTATATTTTTCAGAAACACTCTACACCCTGATCCTGGGGGATGCTGGGCTTTGTGGGCTCTGTGCTGTGCCTGACAGTGAGCTCAGCACAGGGACCACCTGTCCTTGCCGAGGCACTGGGGTGAACATGAGGCCCCTTGACAGTCTTGGGAGGAGGAAACTTGAAGGAGCACCCACCTCCTCGCTGCACATGTTTTCCCACCTAGAGCTCCAGAGGGGAACATGTTTTGGTTCAGAGCTCAACCTCTCCCTGGGCCCAAACCCTGAGAGCACAGAGCTGCTGCCAAAGGTGGTGAGGCTGGGGTTACGCGGGGCTGGCTCTGTGGGGCTGGCTCTGAGGTGCGCAGGGCTGGCTCTTGCTCAGCTCCTGCCCCTGCAGACACCACAGCTGCTGCTGCAGCGTGAGCCATCTCTGCAAGCTGAAGCCTGAGGCAGCACTCTGGCAGTGGGGCTGGGGGTGCCTGTGCTGTGCTGGCACTGGGGAATTTCCTCTGGACCAGCCTCCTGGATGATATTTTTATTCTCTTTTCAGTTCCCTGAGAAACCACCACATGTGATGCAGCAGAAGCTCTCGGAGGCCTTTGGTCTTGCCAGGGCTTTTGGGCACAAGTTTTGGGAATTCCCTGTAGAGACTAAGGAAACACTGCTCCTTCTGTGCAAAGAGACAAAATGAATAGTCCAGCAAGAAAGAAGCAGAAATACATGTTTATGTGTCAATTACTGAGTGGTACAAGAATATGGGTTAACACAACCAGTTCCTCAGTGCACACCAGCGCCCCGCATCTTCCCTACCTGAAAATCTCTAATGGCAATCACGCAGAGAATGTCAGACTGAAAACCTGCTGCCGGTGGGGGTGAGGGGCTGATCCTCACTCCTGACCTTAGGCCAGCTCTTGGCCACAGCACTTGGCACCCTCCAGAGAGTGACCGAGGACTGGGGAGAGCCTGGGCGAGCCCTAGGACACCCTCAGCCCCCCATGGGCAGCAGGCAGCTCCTGCTGCTGCCTCGGAGGCTTCAGCAGTCCCCAGGGTTGGGGCCAGGCAGCACAGGCAGAGCCTTGCCTCAGCACGTTGTGGGAGAGCTGGGTGGTTCACACCATAGCCAGTGAAGTGCGATGGTCTTGGTCACTGAATTAACCTGAAAACACACGGCAAGCAATCCCCTGGAGTTAATCTGGGGATGCAGCTGCAGGGAGCCCTCCTCCGCATGTCCCTGTGGTGAGGAGCCGGTGCCAGGGAGGCACGGAGGCAGCACCTGATGCCTGAGGGCCCCTGGCTGCAGCATGGGGTTGCCTTGCCCCACGGCAGGGATTGGGGTCCCTCGAGGAGCATGAGACCTGCTTCCTGCACCAGCTCAGGCACCAGGGCTGCGGGCACCCAGCGGCCACGGGCACAGGGTGATTTCAGAGGCTATTTTGGAAGAGGCACCTTAATGTTCACTCAGGTGGATGACTCAGGTTTCCCTCAACGGAGTCTGGGACCATGCTAAACCCACACATGCTCATCTCTGCGACAGACCCCAAGCACAATATCCAGAAACTCTGGTTTTTTGGCTCTCTTACTCACTGGGGATCCAGATGCATGTGTTAGGAGTATGTATATATGTGTGTGTACACTTGTATATGTCTATACGGATATAGATGTACAGTGTTGTGTGTATGGTGCTCATACATATGCCACATTTCTTGAGAGCAAGAGTAATAAACTACAGGAATTATTTTCTACCAGAAATATAATGGTTGGTATCAGCCTGACAGTAAATACCTCTGGGCTTGTGGAAAGCTTGGCCGTGGGGTGGGTACAGGCATTGCTGCCTTTCTGGGGTGAGCCTGCCCAAGTAATAAACCAAACGATCCTTCTACACAAACACAACTTCTCAAGAGTTCTGAACGCTTCAGGGGCCACATGTGATGGCCACCCAGTAACTCACTGACATCAGTTCGATCACTCCCTAAAGTAGGCTTCCAGTATCTTGGCCAGAAATCAAGCTGGGGAAGGATTTCCAGTACAACTGTTTCACCTCTCCTGAATCCAGCCCCCACCTTTCTTTTTAGCACGTGCATACCCAGACACCTTCTCCCTGTTGCAGCTAGTGACATCTCAGGTTTTGATGGTGTGCAGCAAGCCGGCCTCCGGCAGCACCCCAGTGTTAGCGTTTAACTGTGAAACTTGTGAGGGTATCTGGAAATAGCTGCCAAATGATTAAGTAAAAAATGAAAGATCTGTGTCTTTCTGAAGGGAAGCCTGTTTGGTTTTGCATTTCTATGAGTCATGCCATGAATAGGGAGCTTGAACATGCTGAACCTGTTTGTCTTGACACCAGTTCATGGTTGGGAGGGTGCAGTTTGCGCAGGGGGCAGAGGCAGTGGGAGCACCCTGCAGCAGAAGGGCTGGCCAAGCCCCACATCCCACACCCAGCCCTGCTCCTGCCTCCCCCTTGTCACCCACCAGCTCTGGGCAGCAGATGCTGCCAGGGAACCCTATGCCACTTTGACGGGACCCTTCTCCCGCTCGTGGGCTCCCTTGAGCTCTTTGGGGCCACCCAAGCTGCCCCCCATGCCCACCCTAGGGGAATGCCCAGTGAGCATCACCCATTACCACTCCAGCACCGGCTTTCCCAGGCCATTTGCTCCAGAGGGGAAAAAAAGTCACAGTTGTGACAGCCTCCATCCTTCCCCTGCCTTGCCATCCCTGCCTGGAAAAGCAGCCCACTTCCTGCAGCTTGGGATGTATTTTTCTTCATCCCCATAGTGACAACATGTAAATATTTGGGGCTGGTGGGGTTTTGATCAGATTTTGAAAGTCTTGAAGAGTCTGGCAAACATGATGTTTATGTTATTGCATTTCAGATGGAGTCTCATGACTTGCAGTTGAGGTTGAGCAGCCAGGGGTGGCCAGTCCAATTGCTGCCTGCTGGGAGCATTGTTGGTTGTGATTTTGCCGATATCTGTCAGGTTGCTGGCTGGCCAGCTCAATCCCTGCAGCGTGCTCGGTGCAAGCCACAGCCCTGCGGATGCTGCACCAGGAAACCATCACAGGGATGAAACGTCCAGGCCCCATGGAGCGAGGCATTCATCGCATTCACCTCGAGGCTGAAATGAGACCCCAGCTGCCTTTCACATATGCCCTTGCCCATCCTCAGATGTGATTTCTTCTGGTAGCGAACAGTGGGCTGGCTTTGAATCAGTGGAACAGAGCTGGTCTTTTTAGGAGACAGCCTTATGGAAACATGCCCTGGGCAGATGGGAGGAGACAGGAGACATGCAGGCTACACAAACTCCGCAGAGTTTGTTGTCTGTTCAAGAAGCCAGGGGTTTATTTTTCATATTTCCAATGATGGTTTGGGTTTGGTTTTTTGTTTTTGTTTTTGGTTTGTTTGGGTTTTTTGTTGTTTTGGTTTTTTTTTTAACTGGACCTGAATGGTTGCAATTGCAGCTTTTTTTCCCCAAACATGATTTTCCTCCCTCCTCTAATCGATGCCCCTCAGCTGGGTTTGTGCAGAAGTATCACTTTGGCATGCCTACTGCAGAGAGAAGCATCTGGAACAAGAAACCACTGCAGCAACCCCTGAAGCTGCAATCCAAGCACACCAGGGCTGAGGGCTGCACGTAGGCACTGGGGACACGGCCATGGGCTGCAGACTGTGAGCTCAATACGCCATGCAAGTGGTTGGAGCGAGCGGGAGGTCTGGGTTGCTAAACAGTCCCGGTGTTTTGAGCAAACAGATCTCATTTTATCCTCTTTACTGTCTCTAGGGTGAAGCAAACAGGTTGTCTCACAGCTGACTGCAAGTGGAGTCACTGGGGAAGTGGTGCCGCAGGCTCGCTCTGTCCATCCCTCGTGCCAGCCAGGTGCACCCTGCGGCACATGGCCGTGCAGCTCCCAGCTCTGCCGTACAGCCGTCCCTGCCATACCGCTGTCCCTGCCATACAGCCACTCTGTGCCTGCTGATCGGCTGCTTTCTGAAGAAAAGGTGATACCAGTCACGCAGTGGACGTGCCCCACCCTACACAACGGGGCTGCTGGTGCGCCAGACCCTGCCAGGGAGGGGAGCACACGCAGGGCGCCCTGTGCAGCCTCAGCAACACCCTGGGAAGCTGGGAGGAGGGAGCGAGCCTGGGACAAGCCAGCAATATAGGAAAAACTGGGAGAAAAGTTGTCATGTCCTAAGAATTCCTAAGAAGACAGAGCCAGCACCTTGGAGCTTCCAACTAAAACCAGGCCCTGCAGCACCAGGGACACTCGGGCTGCCCAGGTGACTCCCAGTCACTGCAAGGCTGGGGCTGCTCCACCGCCCTTCTGGGTCCCAAACCCAGGGAGGATCACCAGGGGTTTCTGCTACTTGGTCTTTTGTGGGAGAGGAAAGAGACTGTAAGAGGGGAAATGTTAGGACATCTGACAGTCCAAAGCACAAGGGAAATGTTTAGCAACGCCCCTGAGTGCTCTTCTAGAGTGGTATCAAGAAAGCTAAGCAGCTGCAGGAGAAGGGGCAGGTGTTCAGACAGAAGCAGTGGGAATGCCTGGCACAGCCCTGCCACGTTGCTACTTGATTAATTCCTGATAAATCTCCGACCGCAGAAATCTGGGCAGGGAGTCTTTCTCCATCAGGGCAAAGATTCTCTTCTGGGCCATGTCAAAGCTGCTTGGTGATGGCTCCACCAGGTTCTTCATGGTCACAGCCTTGGTGAAGTGGTCGATGTTGACCTGTGATGGAAGTGTAAGAGGGATGAGGACTCTGCCTTTGTGAGGGGCAGGTGATGGCATCTCCCCTCACTGGCTCTGGTCCACTGGTTATGGGGAGAGACTGAAGCAGGTTCATTTATCTGGGGGAATTACTGGTGGCAAATCTGTAAGGATGAGGTCTTTCTATCCTGCAGCAAAGCTAACTAAAGGAGAAGGATTACTGTAAATTGTCATCCCTTATAATTAAAGTAATCCCTCTGTGGGGCGAGGGGGACAGGGTGGGATGTGCTGGAAGTGCCTGTGACGGGAGGCATGAGGCTCAGCAGAGGCTGAACATGCAAACAGGGGCACCAGGGCTGTGAAGGGTGGGGACAGGGCTGCCCCTTGTTGAGGGTACAGCCCTCTGAGTCCCTCAGCCATGTTATGAGGTGCCCTGCAGCTATCACTCTCCTTCGGGATGGAGGCCACTTGGCAGCAGCCTCATCCCTCCCAGTGCCATCTCCTGCCCTGTGGCCACTGACCTCTTTGGGTGCCTCAGTCTGGATGAACTCCTCATAGATCTTCTTGGCCTTTTCCTCCATCTTCATGGGGGACTTGGTTTTCTTGTAGTCCTCACAGGCAACCCAAAACTCAGCATTTTCTTCACTGAACTCTGAGCGCAGGAAGCTGCGGAAGCTGGCAAGCCCATCTGCGGGGGGGCAAAGCCCTTTCTGAGCACCAGTGGTCTCAGGGAAGCCAAGCCTTCACTAAACACTGGGGAGACGGGGAGGTGTGACCACATGGGAATGTGAACTTACAGGGATTTTGCAGGAGCTTCTCCAGGGAATCACGCCACTGCAGAGCCTCCTCTGGTGATGGCCTGAAGGGAGTAAAGAAAGCCCAGGTGGTCCATGCTCATCCCACAGCCCTTGTCCGGGCTCCAGGCTTTTAAATAATTCCTTTAAAAATGGGGAGGAATGGAATAACGAGCTGTGGAGACTGTTGCAGAGCAGGGATGATCATCAAACAATGGGAATGCTTGCCGCATCACAGCACGAGTACCCTCCTGGGGAGAGCCGAGTGCCAGAGAAGGTGAGGACTGGGCTGGGTGGGCAAATTCCCCTGTGTTTGAGTAGAGATGTAGCTGAACTGCACAGCAAGTCCCCTCTGCAGCTGCGGGTCCCCTACTTGCCCCAGCACCCATGCATGGGAGGGCAGAGCAGGCGCTCTGCAGGCAGCTGGGAAGCCTCCCTATGTTTTCCTGCTGGGGTGGGGAAGGATGCTCCCCGCTGGGGGGGTCAGGGGGGCGGATCATTCCAGCCCTGTGCTGCTGGGGCGGGGGTCAGTGCCCCTCCACTCCCACAGCCTGCCTGTCCCATTCCCACGCCCCGCAGCGGGGCAGGATGCTGGCCTCGGCTCCCTCCCTCCCCAGTGAAAACCTTCAGTGGTTTTCGTGTGCATGGTTTTTCCACCTTTTTTTTTTTTCTTTATAAATGCAATGCATGTAATGTGATGAAAGAGCTTTGTGGGGTTTTTTGTTTGTGGTTTTGGTTTTTGGGATTTTTTAAGCCCCAAGGAGTTTGACCGAGGCGCCCTGGGGCACAGGTTTCCCTGCTGCCTGGTGCTGGAAGGGAACAGAAGCCCCCCATGCCACTGAGCGCTGGGCTCACTGCAGAGCATCGCAGCTCCCACGGCAGCGATGGTCAGACCATCCACTCCCCACAGGCAGCACTGCACTCGGTCTTGTTTTGCTGCCACAAGGGCCACACGTTGTCAGGGCTGAAACCCTCTGGGTGAGGAGAGCATCCGTGGGGCTGGAGAGGGAGCAGCAGGCAGGACAGCCTGCTGGTCCTGGGGGCCTTGGTGCTTCAGCAGTGAGCGAAAGTGCAGGGGCTCCAGCAAGGAGAGGAGAACAGCAGAAATGCAAGGCTTGCTCAGATTGGGTATCCAGCCCTCACTTGTCATCAAGCCACCAACGCCCAGCAGTAAAGACCATGATGGGAGCTCTGATTATTCACTTTCTGGACCTTAAATTGCATTTATGCTTGCTATCAAGTCCCAAAAGCTCTCTCTGTCCTCATGTTCCTGCCAGGCATCTCGCCACCCCAGTGAGGGGGAGCATCGATGCAGTGACCCAACACAATCCAGATTTCCTGGAAACTACCAAATTCACTTTTTCATTATCTGAATGACACAGGGATGATATTAACTGTGAGCAAGATGTTGATGGGTGAGTGATACCAAGGCTACAGTGCAGGAGAAAACAACTCCTCCAGCCAGCAGGAGTGAAGATGTTCAGTTTTCTGCGGGGACAGCTAATGGGGACAAATCCCAAGGCACTGGGAACAAACTGGGCCAGTCAGCCTCTCCTACCTCCAGAAAGTGAGTTGCGTGCTGTCAGAGCTGGGTTCTGCAGCACTGTGTGTGTCTGGGTGCAGCTGGAGGGCAGGGAGCAAGTCCCTGGGGCAGGGTTACGGATCCCCAGGACAGGCACACAAATCTGATGGTGGCAGGGCTGAAGGGTGGCAGGAGAGCAGCCAGGGCTGCAGCTCAGACACCTGGCTCAGCTGCTCAAGGCTGGGCTGGAGCTACCCTGAGTGAGGCCATCATCCTACGTCCAGGATGCCATCCTGCTTCTAGATTTAAGCTAACATTTATTTTCAAGTTTGTTTTGTGTCTTCTGAACTACTAATCCTGCAGCACAGCCCATCAGCCTCTCTAGCTTTGCCTCTGCTTTGCTTTGTCATTAAACCATCTTGGTGCTGGAGAGCAGAGGCTCAGGGTGAAGGCAATAAGGTGAGAAGGTGCCACCATCGCAGAGCTGCCCAGATCCAGGTGTCAAGCCATGGGGCTGTGCACCCAGCTTGGGGACACGCAGCCACCCCAAAGCCAGCAGGCTGTGCAAGGCTGGCACCTCTGTGCTGAGGCAGGTGACTCAGAGTAGTCCAAGTGCCATATGCCTCCAGCAAAACCTTTATTGAATAATGTGAAATCTCATAAAAAGTAAATTGAGTTTCCATGAGAAATCTGGTTTCCGAAAAGCTGTAGGTCTGACACGTCTCATGCTGCCCTGACGTAACTCTCTGAGCCCACACCTAGCCAGTGGGTCACGAGGAGCATGCCTCGAGCTGCCTGCCATGTGAAGCCTGCTGTGCCCACCCGCAGGCGGGGCTTCGGCTCCCCCACATCCCAAAAAGGCTCACACCCATCCTGCCTGCTGGGCACAGGTGCCAGCACAGCCCACCCTGTCGTGGTACTCACTTCTGGGCCTTGGGCACCTTCTCCGGCTTCTCCGGGTAGGGGATGATGAAGTCAATGGCTGAGTCAGGCTTCTGGAGCAGTGTGCCCAGCTTGGTCTTGATCTCCTTGGCCCTGTGAGAGGGGACAAGCAGAGGCAGATCAGGCAGAGGGACGGAGCAGTGGTGATGATCCCTGCCTGGCACCCACACAGACCCCAGCATGGCTGCTGGTGAGGCACAAAGCTGTGTAATTAATGACACATGAACAAATGGACCCTAATGCTGTAAAGGCGCCTGGCTGAGGCGTTTCAAATCGAGCACTCAGAATTAACGGCAGCTCTTGATCTTGATCTCTCTGCTTTGTCCCCATCTGTGGCTGGGATAATTGTATCAGTGGAGCTGGCGGGCTGCTCTGAGGATGAATTAGGGGATGTGTGTGCAGCACTCAGTTTCTATAGTGATGAGCCTGTAGGAAATGCTGGTGAGGAGATGAAGGATCTGCCTGCAGAGAGGAGGCTGTGCAGGGTGCTGGGCTGGGCTGCAGGGTGGTGCCTGCCCCACACCAAGTCCCGTCCCACATGCTGCCCACCAGCCCCACATTGCCAACAGCATTCAGAGCAGGGTGCCCTAATATTATATATCTATAGATATATAGAGTGTATATACAGATAATATATAAGCATTATGTCTGCAATGGGAAGGATTCATCAGTCACCCCTTAATGCTGCTTTCCGTGGGCAGAGAAGAAGTGTTTTCAGAGTTGGAGTACTCTGACTGCCACCGTGCCAGTCACTGCTGCCCCGAGGCCATGCTCCAGACCTCCATTTGGAGGATGTAGAGACAAGAGGGGTCCTGGTGCTTGACAGCAGGTCCAGATGTCTCACAAAATGTTCCCTTTTGTGCTATGCAATTTGCAAGGCAGTCCTGAGCATCTGAAGCCACCGAGGAGGCTCCCCTTCACTGCAGCTTGGGGGTGATAGCCAGAGCAAGCTGAGCTGTTGCAGAGAAAACTCAGGTGTATGGCATAAGACTAAAGAAATAAAGGGGCAAAAGTGGATACCCCCAAACCCATCTTTATAGGGCAGGATTTTTTCCTGGCACAGCAACATTTGGTGTCTTCCAGGTCATCTTGCTGGCACAGGAGGTGAATGAGAGCAAGAGGACGCAGCACTTCCCCATGGGCCGGTGGGGCTCAGCGCCTTTGCCATGGCGTGGCTGTCAAAGCTGGGCTGCAATCCCCCGGTTTCAGGGCTCACTGTGCTTCTGCTCTCAGCAGTTTACTCTCAGAAGCCCTCTGTGGATGATCATTCCCTTGCTATGTCTGCTATTTCATTTCCATTCCTTTAATTTATTCCCCTCCCTGTAAAACTCCTTCTGTGTTTAGGTTTTCCACCCACCAGCTCCCACGGTGACTTTTTTTGAGACCTGGTGTGGGCTCTGTCCCCCACAGGCTGCCCCCTATTTCTGCTGCAGAAACCTGCCTGTGACAGCTGTCCTCACACAGGAGCAAGCAGCAGGGCCAGCTGGAGTGAGCAGCTCAGCCCACAATGGGTATACAGCATGGGCAGCGCAGACCCATAAACCGAATGATTTTCATGGAAAATATCTGCAGCTACAGGGACAACGTCCATTGCTCGTGCTTCCGAGAAAACGTGGATCTTGCCTGGAAAGACCAGAACCTTAGGTGAAGGGTGATGATTTCCCCATGCTCCTGCACCAAGGTGTCTCTGGGACAGGGATGCTGGCTATGCACCATTCATCCTGCTCCCTCTAATAAATAAATAAAGTGTGGATAAATGGCCCAAGCCAGAGCTGGCTCCTGATGCCCAGAGCCCGGGGCTGGCTCTCCTATGAGTGTCAGGTGTCCCTCAGCACCCCACGGGCTGGCACTACCGTGCCAGAACCCCCCTGGCTCAGCTGTGGCGAGGAGGAGAGGTGAAGGGGGCAGGAGCTGCAGCCCCGTTAGCACCAAAGCAACGGGTGGGTGCAGAGGGTGCCCCAGGAAAGCCGATGGAGCAGGACAGCCTCTCCCTTGTCTCTGCTTTCCTGGAGGTCTGTGCTTGTGGCCACAGATCCCTGCAGGGAAGGGGACATGTGGGCCCAGGGAGCTTCTCTCAAAAAGGGGCTGAGCCGGAACACCAGCTGCCACTCTGGGTAGTGGCAGGGAGAGGGACCCTGCCCTCTCCCTGCCACTGCCCCACACTCGGGAGGGCAGAGCTGGGGACACTGTTGTGGCCAACACGCTGCCAGTGACGAGTGCTGTGCACCTGGGACCGTCCCCTCCAGGCAATTGGACTGTGTGCACAATCGCAGGGGTTTTGTCTGGCAGGAGCAGGGGTGAAGAGAAAGGGGGAAGGTGTTTGCCCACCTCTGAAGGTGAGGTGGTGGATGTCGGGGGGTCCTGAGCAGGCAGGGGGAAGACACTTGCTGTGCTGGGAGCAGGTGCACTGAGAGCCAAATCTAACATATGACAGGCTAAGGAGGTGGGAAGAGAGGACCAGGTCTCTGTCACTTTCTGAGCAGGACCTGGGAACCCCCCTACCCTGGTGCAGACAAGGCCAACACATGGGCAAGATTTGGATCTTCACACAGCAGCAAGTGCTCTCCTGGATAACACTTAGACCTAAATCAAAACTTGCTTTCCAACTCCCTCTCTCTGACAGTGACTTATGGCCAACATCTGCCAGGGTCAAAGGGCACTAATGGACCTTAATGGCCCTGAGCAGCTCCAGCTGAACCCCACACCTTACCTGTGGCTGGGGGCTCCATTTAAGCTCAGTCCTGGGGCCACTTTCCCTGGGGTTGTGCTGTATGTGGGCTTCTCCCCAGCCTGGTCCCCTGAGTTGGTGTTGGCCCTGTATTGCAGCCCCACTGCTGCTGCTCCCAGTGGGGGTCCCTGGATGGCTCCATCCTGTGGTGCTGTTGATGGACCATCAGCAGCTGCCCACCCTGCTGAAGCCCTGCAGATCCCTGTGTGGGGACAGCAGCAAGAGCCTCTCCCTCCCCAAGCAAGTCTTGGCTGTGAGACCTTTTTGAAATATGGGGAGATGGCAGAGATGAGGAAGCTTGTTGAAAGGAAGCGACAAAGGACAGCCAGAGGTCTGAGCGGGCTGGCGGGAGGGAAGGACTATTTAAAGACATTGTTCTGGCATCCTCCAGCAGATGTATTACAAGCTTTCAAGCAAGGCTTCAGCAAAGGCTAAACAGCAGGGTAAAAAAAGACAGTTATAAACAAAAAGGCATCCTTAAAAACCCCAACTATGTCCAAGTGAGAAAAAGCAAGAGGACCATAAACTGTGGAAGGTTAAGTGTGAGAACATATGAGAGCAAGCCAAGAAAAAGTCTGAGAAACAGCTTCCAAGAAAAATTAGAAGAAAATACGGGCTCTGTCAAACACATCAAGAACAAGAAGGCTGCTGGGGAGGGCCAGGAGAAACTCCAGCTTCAAAAACAAAACAAAAGAAAGAAGCTCCAAGAAGTTAAAGCTATAGCTGAAAGCTTAAACTGCTACTGTGCCCGAGGGCAGCGAGGTGCCAGAGGGAATGCCCCTTGAGGGGAAAAAGGCTCCAGGGAGGGTTTGAGGAGCCATAAAGATGCAAGTGTAATGCTGAATGGGCATGGCAGCAGCAGCTGTATCAGAGAGTTGTGGTGGACACATGGACAAATATGGTCTATTGGAGAGGAGTCAAGGCAGTTTGGCAGTAGGAAGAGATTCCTTCAAACCTATCAGCCCTCTCTGAAGAGGCCAGCAAGGACGTGCCCTGGGGAGAGTCAGGGGGTACCAGCCCCTTGGGTCTGCAGGGGACCTTGGCTGGGCTCTCCAAACCCCAGGCAGCTGCAGGAGGCAAGGTCATCTCATGGGGAACAGTGTGGGAAAGGTAGCACACAACACGTAGGGGACAGAGTGTGTTTTCCTCAGTGGGGACGGTCCTAGGGGAATGTGAGCTGGGACCGTGCTGTTAATCATATCACGCGCATGGGGAAAAGGGGGTCAGTGGCCAAGCAGGAGATACTGCGTTACTGGATACAACACTTGGGGAGCAGTTGTGAGGAACTTCAGGAGGGTCTCATGAGACTGGCAATTAAGCAGCTCTTGAAATGCCTCGGAGCAATACAAAATGATGCACATGAGAAAAACCCAATCCTAACTCCATGTGTGAAAGTGTAAGTCAAGCTGCCTTCAAGACTGACGATTTGAGGGCACAACAGAGGTAAATGAAAGCATCAGCATAGCACCAGTGGGAAAAAACCCCCTAATTTAGTACTAGAAAGTAGCATAAGAGTGACAACAAAGATGACACCAGAGCAGAAATGTGTGGATCAACCAACATCTGGAAGAGTGCTGCTTGGACACCCATGGCACAGGAGGTTGCAGGAGACCAGACAAGGCATGGGGAGGGCAGGATAGCCAAAAGGTACGTTTCAAACAAAGAAACTGTCACAGGCCTATGCGTCTGTTTGCCTGTGACGGAAATTTGCTTTGCTTCTAGGCAAGCAGCATCAGCCTCCAGTGGCACCGCTTCAGCTGACGAAGGGAATGGGGACTTCTCTTGACCTCCCCCAGGACAGCAAATGCCACCCTCGCTCTCATCTAAAAAACTGGTACTAAGGCATTTTCAGCTGCATGGACACCCTCACTGGGTAATTCACATGTAAAGTCTTTTACCAGGTTTCCTCCTTTGGTGAAGGATCGAGCGCCCTGCTGCCACAGGGAGACCCCAGCCTTGTGCTATGGCCCCCCTTGCACCTCTGTTCTCACCAGCCCCCCTGGCTCCACAGGAGTGGAGGAGAGGGTAGGTTTTGCTCAGCATGGAAATGGCAGGGTGCTGGAGACTGCCTGGGTTCCTGAGGGCTAAGAGCAGCCAGGGAAGCACCACCACCTCCCAAGGCAGGTTTTGAGGCAAGCATGGGGCGGAGGGGGATGAAGTTGAAAATGAGGGTGCGTGCCACGAGCTATAGAGAGCAGGCACTCCGCACCAAGCCGATCCTCGTGAGAGGGGCCAGGGCCAGCTAATCTGTGTGCAAGGGAGATACAGGCAGTTAAAGCAGATTTTGAGGCACTTTGGAGCCAGGGCTCAGCAGCCACAGAAAGGCTTTCCTGCTACATCAACCCCCCCCACCCCCATCATGTTTTGCAAATATTAAGATCTGAGGACAAAGTGCTCCTTCTCCAGGCCCACACAGGGGAGTAGCTGGGGTTGAGGAGTGGGTTTGGGGCAGCCCAGACTCGCCTAGCAGAGAAGTTCCCAAGACAGAGGAGAGAGTTTGGGACTAGATCAGCATTTGCCCCCTCGAGGGTCTCAGCCACTCACAGCATCATGCTGATCCCATGGCAGCAAGCCTCCCTTCCCTCCCAGTTCAGAGCTGGGCAATCCCAGTCCCAGTAGGAGATGTCCATCATGGGGATGTGCTGTAGGAAGAACCTCTCTGCCCCCAGCTGTCCCCCAGCAGAGCCCTGTGGGGAAGCAGAGTCCCCCCTAGCATCCCCGCACCAGCTGGCCGCTCTCACCTCTCCAGGCACGTGTGGGGCAGCGCTGCTAATCCTTTGCACATCTTGGCAGGCTGTAGTTTTCCTCAGCTGTGAGAAAAGTGTGAGCGATGGCTAAAGCAGGCAGCAGCGGCTCAGTCTGCAGTCTGGCTCCCGCCTCACTCCTATATAGTGCTGGGAGCTGGACCCCCGCCAGCCCTGTAACCAATGCTGTCTGTCCTGCCGCAGCTGGCCCCAGCCCTGGCGGCTTCTGGATTTTGTTTTCTCCTTTCTAAGCTTACATGGGGGAAAAAAATGTGGTTTTTCTGGGGTGAGATCAGGTAATCAAATTGGAAGGGCCAAGCTGCTATTTGGGGGCCTTCAGGAAGACCACAGGGTTTCTTCTTAATGATATATCAGGGTCCAGGTCAGTATTTAGAAAAGCCAAGTAGAAATGCTTCACTCAAGCAAGATTTTTTCCAATAAAAAATGTCACTTCCATAAAAATAAAAGTGCTCATGAGAAGTCTTGCTGTTGATTTCACGGCTGTGGTTAATATCAAAACATCCACAGCTTCAACAGTGGTTACTGGCTGGTGGGTAACATTGACTTCTATTCCAGAAGAAATTCATTTTAATGTAAGCTTACAAATAAACACATCTGTTAATTGTAGCAAATGTTTCAGTTCGATCTGACAGTGACACTTGGATGAAGCCCAAAAGAATTCCCACCCAGAATTTTGTTATGTGGAAAATTCAGACCCTTTTTCCAACCCCCTTCTCAGAGCAGTAAAGCACACACCAGAACACAGAGCTGCCCACGACGATGCAGGATGTAGGGCCTGAGCAGTGACCAGTCCCTGCCTCCCCCTTGTATGGCGCTGCCCCACTGGGATGCAGCCCCACACTTGCCTAAAGCTTAGGTGCTGCCCAGCACCACAGTGTTTCTGTTTTCTTGGATAAGATCCCTTTGATTGCTCCACTAACTTGCAATCACAGAGCCAGGGCCTCCCTATAGTCACAACATCTGTGTAATTATTTTCTCCCAGCATCAGCCAGGCACCCAGACACGGTGTAGGTGCAACCCCTGCAAGTGAGGCCACCTGCTGAGAGGCCACTCATGGCAAATGGGGACCAGCCTGGCTCCGAATGGCCCCATAGCCAAAGCCCTGATTTGGTGTCTCTCCACAGCTGCTCAGGAGCAGGATGAGCTGCCGCCAGCAGCTGCAATGGAGTCACTCCTAACACGGCTTAGCGGTGCTTGGCATGGAGAGGGTAACCACTGCCACCTCAGACATTTCTCTCCTGCCTTCCAGCCGGGATGCGACAGCCCATCCTCATCAGGTCACCCAGGGTACTGCTTGTCGCCTGGGTCTGTGCAGCCGGACTAGAGCTAGCACAAGGGGAAAATCCTCAAGCACACACCAGGTGGCCTCAGGGGCCTCAGCACCAGCTCTGTTGGTTTGTGTAGCAGGACTTGCTCACACACAGGCCTTTGCCACTCCACACAGGTGCCTGGGCAATTACACCCACTTCGGCACAGGCACATGCAGAGGGCGTGCAGCTCCCCTCTGCCTCCACCTCCTGCTCCAGCCCAGCCAGGGCACCCCTGGACATCCCACTTGGGCTGTGGGCTCAGGGCTCACTCTGAAAATCTGCCATGTGCCCATCCCTGACCTCGGCTGCCTACAGAATGTGCATCTGGGTAATGGAACAGGCAACCTTGCTTCCAGCTTGGCGGTCCACAGCCCAAGGGCTGTAACGACATTAATTGCCCTGACCAGCCCCACCTGCCTCCTTAGCCCAGGGGTGCATTTAAACTCAGCCCTGGGTCCTCTTTTCTCACTAGGTGGTGTTATTGGTGTATGTGGCTCTGGCTCTTGGATGGACCTTGGACCTGCATTTCAGTCCTGTCTGGCTGTTTTGAGATTATGCAGCAAGCCAGTGATTCAGCATGTGGGTGCAGTAACTAAAAGCTGGAAGTCTGCTAGAACCCATTCCTCCCTGGAGAGCTTGGACTAGCTTTTTACTGGCTTGTAATAGAAAATGAATGAAAAAAAGTGCAGCCTAAAACTTCAGAGGATGAGATGCTTGAATGGGGTTTGGGCTGATTACAGACTGCTGGATGCACCCAAGCAGAGGTGCCGGACCTAGGGTTTGGGGGCTGCACCTTCCCACTGCCTGGCATTGATGTGCCCACCAGCCCACTTTGTGCCTTGCAGATGGAGCAAGGAAACAATGACAGCCCCAGAGGATGGAGGTACTTCTTCACAGGCTGCTATCATTTTGCCCTTTTCACATGGGGAGGCTCTGTTACTAGCATGGAGGTGCCTCACTGCAATTTGGAAATAGCCCACAGCCCAAGTGCCCCATCTGCCCCGCAGTTAGGATGCAGGCCCCTGCTCTCCAAGGGCCTGCAGCCTTGTTTGCTGGGTTGTGCCACTTGCCCTCAGGGCTGGAGAGCGTGTCAGGGCCATTATTTCCTAGCAGGGATGTCACCAGGGTACCTCAGAGCCAGGTCAGTGCCTGCCAGGTCCGTGGCTGCTATTAAAAGCTCCTATGAAGCCAAGGTGCTGCCTGCAGGGTGATTTAGCAGCTGGCTGAGCACCCTGGCATTGAGGGGAGCAGGGGACAGTGAGGGGTGGGTGAGAGTCACCAGTGGTTCTCACAGCCACTGGGTTGGGAAGGGCGGCAGAGCCATGGGACTGCATGGGAAACCCCTGCAGCCGTGTGCTGGGCTGCAGAGCCATTGGGAACACAGCTATTTTTTATCATTAATCTTCAGTAATAAAGTCAGCGTTGGAAATCCCGGGAGAGCTTAGATCTGTGGGATCAGGCGGTTTGTGTGAATGCTCTCCAGCAGACACCGAGCACCCTCACATGCTCTCTTTCCAGCTACAGCCGGAGTTGCATGCCCCTGGAAAGCCGGGGGCATGGCTACAGCTCTGCAGACCTTCTGCTGCCTGGAAGAGCCTGGAGCTTTGCCCAGTGAGACCCCACAGAGGAATCGGGTCGACCCCTAAAGACTTTTACCTGCTTTACCTCTTTCAGTCTTGGGTGGGCAAATCCTTCTGGTGCTGTGGCTCTGCCATAGTTCAGTGACCAATGCTCTATGATCTCTTCCACTGCCCCAGGGTGGGGGTTTAATGAACATACAGAGCAAGCTGGGGAAATTGAGGTCTAAAATGAGCGATGAAGCTTCATGTGAGTCATAATGAAGCTATACCATGCACTGGGATTGCAGTTGTGCATTTTAGCAGAGATTTATCTGAAACACTGGAAAAGAAACCATATACCATTGAGCAGAAACAGGGGTTACACAGAAATAGCTTGTATTTTCCACAGACCTTTGTCCAGTAAGGAATGTTTGGTTTGTGCATTTAAAGGCTTTAGAGTGCTAAGAAAATATTTCCAATAAGAAATCCAGACCTTCCTTGTCTTCCCACGACAGCTTAATTTCTTTAAGAGCCCTTCTGGGAGAGCCTTTTGGAGATCCAAATGCACTCTGAGGATCAGATTGTCTTGTGTACACAATGGCTGGTTTCCTCCAAGTGCTCTAGGTTTGTGATTGCAACTGCCCCCTCACAAACCACATGGAATCTCCCATTACACCAGATTTATCCTAGGCTCTGTTATTTCAAGACTTTATTATCCTTTCTAACAACTTGCCTTTTATAGAAGGTAGCCTTGTTGCTTTGCAGTTTCCTGGTTCCCACTGGAACTTTTTAAAAATTATCATCATATTTAACAATATTGGCTTTTGGTAGAGGGATCACTGTAATTCTCACCCAGGCAAGTATTTGGCAGTTCATCTGAACATTCCTTCTGGCAGATTTTTAACCATGTGTTCTAAAATTGGGGTTAAAAATTGTTTTTTCCCCCTGGTGCCTTGGAACAATCATGCAAATGTAGGTCCCCTAAGGAATGGACCTAACGTGAGACCCTTCACAGCAAAGGTCAATGCAACTCACCAAGTTTTTTCTGTGATGGGCCTTTCCTTCTCATAGAGCCTGATCATATGGTGTCTCTAGGGCTCTCTGGAGAGCTTTCTGCTTCTCATATAGTCATGATTAGTTTTTATGCCTTTAGGATGCTTTCCTCAAATCTCCTGCGGTCTGCCTTTCACCTGTAGCTTTCCAGAGCTTGTATTCTTTTTTTACTCTCTCATGTGTCTGCAATTTGCACTTCTTTTAAGGTCTTGCCACTCCAGGTCTTTCACTCCCCTGTATAACCACATCACCTTTTTTAAGGCCAGCCTACTTCTCATTTTCCTTCTGACATTAAGTATTACTTTACTGATTTTGCTCTCACCAACACAATCTGATCAGTAATTATAGCTCCATAGTCATTTGTTACCTTTTGAGTCAGGCTGGTAACACACAGCATGGGATTACACCATGGCACTGCCTCCACCAAGCTTTTGGGGTCCAGACCGATGGATTAAAACACTTGTGTAGAAGGAAGGAGACAGGGGATCCTGGCTCCCTCTGCTTGCTGCATCCAAGTCACTGACACAGGAGCCATGAGTGAGGTCAAAGAGGAGAAAACCCTGAAAAGCAGCATTACCCAGAGCACTGGGACTCTGGCCAGCCGGAAATTCAGGAGTCACGCAAGCCCTGCGTCCCAGCTGTGGAGCTGCAGAGTTCCTCAACCCTGTGCACGAGGCCTGAGAACGGCTGTGGCTGGGACACGGCCCTGCTCCTCATGCCTGCTTTGTGCCTGCATCAGGGTCCTGCTCCCCTTCTGGCACCCGGGCAGCACGGGGCAGGGGCAAGCTCACCCTGGGATGTGCACAGGGCTGGCCTCACCTCTGGCACATGCAGAGCACCCTGGGGAACATGGGGCTGAGGAACTGCAGGAACAGGCAGCTTTGAGTCAATGCAAGTAGTTGCATGGTGTTTATGCTACTACAGGTACTCAAGTGACAGCCCAGGTCTAAACCGCAGCATCTCCCCCTGTAGCCATCCCTCTGCGCCCAGAGCAGATGGGTGAAGACAGGCTGCCTGTTTGCAGAGATCTATTGGGGGCAGAGCCACCACTCCAGGCACCTCAGCCACTGCTGCTGAGCTTCCAGCAGCTCCGCTACCCAAGTGGCACTGGTGCTGCCCTGTGCTCAGCGAGGTGCAGCCCCAGCAAAGGCAGCTGTGTGCTGTCTCTGCTTTCCTGTGTCCATCTACAGCACAGCCACTTGCCTCTGCATTCCTTGAAGCATCACCAAAAGACACAATCTGAACAGATGCAGCTGGGTTGGTGGTACACAGGTGACAGACACCAATTTCAACACAAAGCTGGCACAAACAGACCAGTCACAGGATTTTATTTAAGGCTTGAATTCAAGAAATTGCCTGGATTACACCATTTTTACCCAGATTAGCGTGCTGGATCCAGGCAGCAGAGCACATTTTTCTCCTCACCCACCAGCCAGCACCTGCATTTTTGATCACTTGACAGAATTGGCTGCCATGCAAAGTACACCTCTATCTCCACATTAGCCATGCAAGCACCCCCCTCCTCTCCCATGCATGCATTTCTTCTTGGCCCAGAAGAGCATCTGAATGGTGAATGAAGCCCGTTCCTGCCCATCCCTTTTGCTCTATGTGCTCTGCTGTGGCAGTGCCTTTCCCAGCTCGTGAATAGCCTTGTTCTCCAGCACCTCCACCTTCCCCTTGTCTGGCTGCAGCACACTGGCCACCATAGCCCTGGCCACCACTTCCACAGGCACCGAGTAAGCGGTGGGGAAGACCCGAGCCACAACACCCAGAAACTGCTGGGCCATCCACTCGCCGGGCCGGGACTCCTGGCGCTTGCACAGCAGCACCCTGCAGAGTGAGGAGGTAAGGTGGGTCAGGCTGAAACCATCCTCCAGGGAAAGCTGGAGACTGGGCTCTCCAGCTGCACTGCGGGCCCAGCCCAGCTTTCTAAACCCATGTAGGGGTCATGGGGTTTTGGCAGGGTCCTGAAATGTGACTGAGCTGAGCCCTGTGACACCGAACTCATTTCCCAGCAGTGCTGCCAAAACCAGAATGCCAGTTACTCCCAAGCAGCAAGAGCACAGTACAGCTGAAAGGATACAGGTAAGTGTCCCCTGCAAAAGGTCAAGGTCTGTGCGGAGATAAGCTTTGACCTATGTCACCCAACCTCTGCTTTCAACCCAAGACTCTTCTCCTTGCATGGCACGTGACATTAGCATTGGGTCAGGCATGGGAAACTGCTGTGCTTGCTCCCTGCAGCACTGGGAAGCACTATGCTTGTCCAGAAGCTGCCTTTGCAGCTGGTGGCTTTCTTCACTTCTCTCCCCAGCCCTCCCCTTATGCATCCTTTCTCCCTTTCTTCATCTCCCAGCCCACTGCCCTGGCAAACCTCCACCTGAGTCCTGTGCCCTCCCTCCTCTGCCGCTACTCACGCTGGCCGGAGAATGGTACAGCGATCAAAACCCACAGCCTGGACCAGGTTCTCCACTTCCCCCTGTCAGAGCAGTCGGGCAGGATGAAAAGAGACAAGGATGACTGCAAGCACCATCTCTGCTGTCCCGTGAAATAGCAGGAGAGAGTTGCTAAGCTGTGAGCAGGATGGCATAACGCCAGTGCCAAGCTGGTCCAGACCAGGCGCCGCCTGGGCAGCAAGCAGCTTTCCAGGAAAATGCAGCGCGGGGTTGAGCATCCATGGTGGACACACTGACCATTAGTCAGCAGCGCACCCTTGCAACCATCAGGCTAACTGCAACTGTACACTCCTGAGGCAGCGTCTGGACAGAGTGTCCAGCCCAGGCGTCCTGGCACAAGGCACCGTCAGACAGCGGCGAGTCCAGCAAAAGTTGGGAGCTGCAGCACACAACATTTAGGGGAAAAAGCCTTTTGTGATGGGTATGGTCCCACCTGGGGAGCCTGTAGGCTCTCCACTCCTGGATAGTTCATGTCTCAGCTGGACACGGCCCTGAGCCTCCCCATGTAACTGTGAAGCCATCCCAGCATAGGCCTGGGGAGCCAGAGCCGGGCTGGAGACCCCAGTGGGTCTTTCTGGTGGTTTGAAGAGGGAGGTGGATGCTGCGAGTGCTGTGCTGCTTTGGACGAAGCCAGTTGCGTGGCTGTCCTGCCAGCCCCCCTCCCTCACCCCCTTGTGCACGAGCACCAGGAGGACCCTCAGAACCATTTGCATCCCTTGACAGCTCCGCTCCTGCTTCCTTCCCGAGTGTCCCGGGACGTGCCCACCCCAGGTGCCCCCTCACCTTCACGCGGAGGTAGAGGAAGCGGCTGTGCTGGTTTGCCCCCTGGGACGACTGCAGGACAAAGTGTTTGCAGCCCCCCGCCCGCGCCAGCTCTGCTGCCTGCGCCACGTAGTCCCGGTCCACGCGGACAAAGCCGTCCTGCGGGTAAAGGGAGAGGGGGTGAGCGTGGCAGGGAGGGGGCGGCCGGGCCCCGTGTCCCCCGGCGGTTCCACTCACCACGCCAGCCTTGGCCCTGGTGGTGCCCAGGCAGCAGAAGCCAACATCGTGTCCCCGGAAGGCGGCAGCGTGCTCGCTCAGCCGCTCGAAGTCCACCACCGCCTGCTCCTGCGGGGAGGCTGGGGCTCAGCGCCGCCGCCCTGGCCGCCCCCCCTGA